TGACTCTTGAGACATATGTGGAAATATCAAGTTCCCTCACCTCTTCCAATGATTTTTTCTCTATCATATCAATTGGAATGTTGGGAATATTAAATTAATTATTTTTATATTTTAATAATTTATGTTGATTCTATATTGGTAATTGGAATATGTTTTGAGGACAATTTTCTTAAATAGTTTGTGTTATTACTTCAATTTTATTACTATGGAGTATTATTTTATTTACATTAATGATGACGCTAATAATAATAATAATAAAATGAAGAATGCACCTAAATAATTTTTTATAGGTCATTATTAAAAGAAATTAGAAAGATTTGGAAGAAATGATAAAAAGTTAAAAATAGAAAGAAAATAGAAAAAATCAGAAAGAATGGGAAAATATTGAAATTAAAGAATTATGATCTAGTACCAATATAAGTGAAAAAACTAAAGTATATATGAGTAAAACAGAAAGTATACTAAAATAAGAGTTCTATATTTTTAACTTTGAAATAGAAATTAAAACGCATTTATATTACCAATCATAATTATGTACATTATCAAAAAGTATAGTAAATTGCTCATTTACAATGTCACATTACCACAGTACGAACTCCTATTTAGAGAATAAAAACATGGAACTCATATTTTGGTCATTTCTCTATATTCTACTCCTATTTGTGATGATTTTCTTTTAGAAAGAATTGAGACAATTATGCAATTTTAAAAAATTTAAAGGAAATTAATTAATTTAGTTTATGTAGTATTATGTAATGTCACTTAGTGAATGGAGGGGTTTGGATGAAAGGACGCAGCCTGCGTTAAATTGGGACCAGAGGCATACAGCTGATCGAAGGGGCGAAAATCGATAGTGAAAGGAACGGCGTGAATCGATTAGGCACAATCAAACGCTTAATCAGTGCGGCAAAATAGGTGTGACGTAGGGAAATACGCAGTGGCAGCGATGACCTCCCCCAACGACGATGGAGGCAACGATGGTGGCAGTGACGCCGTTGTCATTGAGCAAACCACCGACGACGACGGTGCTAAATTGATTCAGAATGAACATTATGTTGAGCATGCTTGAAATGAACACCTACTACGTTATTTCAGAATGAAGACAACATTTTCAGTAAATAAACATTATAATCGTAATGAATATATGTGTGAAAATGATGTTATCTTGCTTCAGGATGAACGTTACGTTAATTCAAAATGAATATTTACCTAATTTACCTAGTTATAGGTACACCCGATTGTATGATATTCGTTCTCGAGGTTTAGATGCATTCTCTGGTTAGGATTTAGGAATGAAAAGGAAGGGAGGAATTAAGCGAGAGTGGGTAAGGGTCAGTAGGCGTTGATTGATCCGTGTCGAGCACAAAACATAAAATCAGATGGCAGGTCAAGCTCAAGTCCCCATCTTTTTTACTACTCCGTACCACACTCCCTTTGTACTAACTTGGTACTTAAATTAGGTTTTTACCTTTTTTTGGTGTGACTCCAAATTTAACTGTTATTTACTTATTTCTTCCAACAAAATTAAATATGTGAATTGTATTTCTCTTTTCTTTTGTACAAAATTCAGTTACACACATTTTATTTTTGCAAAACAAATCAGTAAAAAAATACAAACGAAAATTTAATTGGGAAATTTATTTAAATTTTAAATTTTCAATATATATATATATATATATATATATATATATATATAATACCATACATTTTGATTTCAGATTTTAATGAGTTATGCTTCTTTAGTCCTAATGTCTATATACACGTAAACTGTGGATCTTCTCATACTTTTCATGAGTTTATTAGTGAATCTTTTTTAATTGTAAAAACCAAAGTCTTTGATGGTATCTATACTATATTTAAAAAGAGGGAAATTTCTCATTGCATTTTCCCACCTCAACCCACACATCCTATGGTCACTCGTGCCAAAACGGGTGTCTTCTATAGTTCTATCCTAAACAAATAATTAATCTCAAAATCATTTCCGAAATCTCCCTCATACCCCTACCTACCGTACGTAGTGCACGAAAAGATTCAAACTGGTTTAATGCGATGCAAGATGAATATAATGTTTTGATCGCTAATAATACATGAGATTGAGTACCCCCTCACCGAACCAAAATGTTATCTCCGGTAAATGGCTCTTTAGAGAAAATGTTGTCCCAAAAGAAGATGTCGACCTCTCAGATCGATTCGTTCGCTTCCCTGCGCATAAAAGTTGAAAAATCAATTGATTTCTGCCTATAACTCTATGATTTTTTTCGAGATTTGGTTTGCTAACATATCGATGAAGGTGTTCAAAACAAGACATGTTTTCACGGACAGAGGAGTATAATTTAATTTGTTAATTTTTTTCATTTCGTCTGGGGATACCTAATTCTCGAGACTGACCAGACATGGTAGTTTATATGGTATATGTTTTAGCATAAATTCTATATTTTAATTATACTTTTATAGAGTAGATTTCTTTTTTAAGAAAATTTGAAGCCATTTCTTTTAAGTTATTGAGTCAAATGAAATGAAGTAATTTGGTCTCCTTCCCTAGCAACAATAATGTTTCAAAGCTGAATCCCCAAAGTTTTTTAATAATATTCTATTATTGCCGTCGTACGTTGGAAACGGTAAACCCCTATACAAGAAAAGAAAACTAATTTGTGATTAATACAGTTCAATAAAAACTGCAATGAAACAAAATTTGTCGCTCGTAGCTTAGATCATAACGAAGGTGTGCAAAAGACGATATATAACACGGGCCCCAAGTTTGTCTGACTTTATTTATAACATTAATTATTACTCCATGTTAATGATATTATATTTCTTTCCAAACATATTTGTATTATATAAATATGATATTTCAATTCAAAATTATTTTTTAAAATGAATCACTTCATATAAATTATATTTTTTATTTATGGTTAAATTTTAAAAATATTAACTGTAAATATATAACTAGGGTCATCCATTTTTTTGAATAATAACAAAAGAAAATCAAATTTACGGTGTCATGATCAGTTACTGTCACATTATAAAATTAGGTGGACAGAATGATTTAGTTGTGGGTATTAAAAGTAATACTCCGTAATAATATTATTATTCAAATTGGAAGCAAATAATAATAATGATAAGAGTAATTATACTAATATTTAAATATCACTCTGGTTATATGACCACTCTCTTTGAGTGATCACAGAAAACACTGTCACCACTGGGAACACATATGGTGCTCCTTTCATAAAATGGATAACCTTTACCCCATAACCTTCCTCGTAAACCCCCCACCAAGTCCCTACCCCAACCCATTTCCACGGTCACATCAATCGCGGAGTGTAAATTTATTTGACTTTAATTTGAAGTCAAAATATTTGGTGCTATGTTCAACTTGAAAATGGTTTCTTCCTCTCTCCTCCCTAACCCCTCATCTAAACCCTACAGCATCCGCCCCTAGCCCTTCTACGAAGTATTTCTTTTGAGTGCTGTTGAGTCTATTACAATGTAGTATTTGTGCTAGCCCTTCAATTATATCCTTAAATTTGGTTAATATTTTCATCAAAAGTTTTGAAATCCTTACGGGGCTTTGATAGACCTCGAAGTTTTTTTACCCTGTCTCCAAACTCTCAACCTCAACTTATACTCTCTCAATCCCCAATTGCACCCCTAATTTTAGTTGACATTTTGGTTAGAATTGTTGACCAAGATTAAGGATGTGATTGGAGTGTTTTACACACCCTATACAACTATTACGTACCCTACACATCATTTTATTATAAGATGTCAAATAAATATACTCCAAGATGGAATTGAACATCTCTATGAAGAAGACTCCAAGAGAACAAAGGGTCTCCTTTACTCTCATGAGGTGAGAGGTTTAGAGGGATAACGTGTTAGCCAATATTATACTCTCACCGTCCCAATTTAAATTACACGTTTCAATTTGCGATGTTTGATAAAAATTATTTTCAAATCATTTTATATGAAAAATGGTGTAGAAATAAAAAATAAAAATTACATATTTAAAAACTAGATCAAAAGATCTACAAAATTAGTGATGACATGACTATATTATTTTATCAAATGAATAACGAAAATAATGAAAAAAAGTGAATGAAGTTTGATAATGTGAATACCAAACATGCAATTTAATTTGGAACGGATGAAGTATTATGACACCAAACCTAGTGTCAAAAGAACTGCTTTGTTCTTTATATTGATTATAGTTGAATCAAAAGAAATTTAGCTAAATATCACTAAAATATCACTTATGGTGTATTTGGTTGGACGTAAAATATTTTTCTGGAAAATTTTGATTCCATTTTCATGTGTTCGAAGAATAATTTTTCTTCGAATTATTTTCATTTGGAAAATATTCTTCAAAGAAAATATTTTACCCCCAACCAAATACAACATTATACAAAAATAAGACTTTTTTATGTATTTATTTCTAAATGAGACCACTATCACCGTACAGCGTCACAATTTAACAATATATATTGGTAGTCTAGACTCTAGAGCATGTTTTGACACTATATATTGACCCATTTTGGCATCATGAATTACTCTATATATTTTACTCTCTCTGTCCCGTTTTGAATCTTCCATTTCGACTTTAGAACATATTTAAGGAAGAGAAAAACTAGAGTTGACTTTCCGAAATTGCCATTACATTTTAGGAGGGGTGACGATGAATGAGAACAAAAGATGGAGAAGAGTGACTTATTTTAGGGGTAGTTTAGGTATTTTATTCTTAAAAGTTTACAATTACAATAACAAGCAACTTATTTTGGGACGGAGAAAAAAGGAAAACATGCTATTTAAAATGGGACAGAGAGAGTACTATAAAACATTAAAAATCTTATTTTAATTTATGAAATCAGTGTTTGAGTTTTTTTGTCAACCTAATCCATATCGTTTATGGGAGTGTAAATATGGTTCATTACATATTATTAACATCAACCTTAATGAAAATGAGCAAACAAAAAAAGGACCATTTTTTAAAATAAAAATATATTGACACAAGAGTTTTATTTTGGGATTGTAATTTGTGGCAGGTTCAAACCTAATTCCCCAATGCAGGTTTGTTAAAACTCATTTACATTTTTCTCCCACCATGAGAAATTCTTGCATAAAGTTAAAAGGAAAAAAAAACTTGTAAATAAATAAAGAGCATTTGGGCATATATTCAAATTAATTGTTCTTCAATTCAGCATTCCTTGAAATCAACTTGTCTCCTCAAATTCCATCACCTGAAAAAGACAAATGAAATCTTCCCATTTGAGATATATACTTTTTAACATTTACTATAAACAAGTTTCACCCAAGCTTGACACGAGGTTGAGGTTATTTTTTTCACACGGTCCGTAACTATCGATGAGAAATTATTGTTTGAGAGATATAAAAATAAGTAATAAGTAGAAAACTGCCAATCGATTGTCATGTTTGTGGCTATGAGGACCAAATCTGTCAATCATCAGTTGTCAAAACACAAGTGATGACTGTCAGTTTTTGGTCCTAAGAACATTTGGTTGTCCGTGTTTTGACAACCGATTGTCAAATTTTGGTCCTAAGAACAAAATCTAGTAGAAGGTATCGACAATCACTTATATATTTTTGACAACAATCAACCGTGTCGAGTGATTTACAAATTAAAACATCAAGAATAATGGCAGAAAAATGTAAAAGAAGACCTTACCGCACCACAAAAGGGACATGTTTCACTCCTTTCCTGCCACTCATATATGCAGCTCAGGTGGTAATGGTGAGAACACTTTGTGATAATTTTGGGGTTTTCAATAGTATACTCTGCAAGAGAAAGCCATTACATAAGTTGGTAATTAATAACCCATGATTATATAAGTTGGTAATTAATAAGTCATCATTTTCAAAAAAAAAAAACATCAGTATAATCGGTGATCATATGAAAATTTAGAATGTATATAGATACGGTTAATAGAAAACCTTCGAGGCAAGTTGGGCAGACATCCTCATCTTCTTGCAAAGGGCAATGATACTTGGTTTCAACATCCCAAAACAAGTGTTTGTTAGGGGCAATATAGTCCTTTTTTTCGTCACCTTCGAGTTTGTTTTCAAGTTTCATGAGTTCTCGAAGCAGTTTGAGATCAGCATTTCGCATGTGTGAATGGCTCGAGCCTTTCTCCAATTTCCAGGTTCCAATTTCTTGGTGTGCTGGAGGAGATCTTGAGTCGCCATTGTTTTGTGATATTGTCATGTCCTCGGAATCTGCTAAGTCGAAATCTTGGGTTTCCTCACCACCAAATAAAGCCTCATACTGCAATTGTAATATCTCATTTAGAGTGTGCATCAAAGATAACAAAAAACATCCTAAGTGGTCAAACTTACAAGAGGAGTGTACTCAAAGGTAATGTGTGGAGTGTCTAATCTTATTTTCTCAAAGGAACACATATCACAACCTCATAACTAGTGTGAGGGGCCCACTGATGTGGGACTGCGAGTTCGGGCATGGGCCCTACTGCCCCCCACCCCGCCACTAGCCCACGGCATAACTAAAAACTACCTTCGCTCTAATACTTGTTGAAACATGCAATGCAAAATTTCTAGGTTGCAATGAATATGGAGATGTATCGATTCCAATTTTGATTTGAAAAGTATTATGAGTAAATTATTTAAAAAATTTCCGCTATTTAGGGACGGATGGAGTATTTAAAATATGTGGGGGCATATAGTATTGAACTTGTGCCTTTATTTCCAAAATTGCTACATAATTAAGTTGTAATTCTTCAATTGCAAAGTGTTGAAAAAACATGCCTTCGAGAAGAACAATGGACTTCAAAAGATAATGTAAGAGCAGAAGCAAAAAGGTTTAGAAGAACAAAATCAAAGTGAGGATAAAGGGAAGGGTTATGCAGTTATATGCTTCAGTCACACCACGGATGACACCGGAAGTGTCTTAAAGACATTGATTTTGCATTGATCATCTATGGTTATGTCAATCTTGGTGTCATCCTTGGGATTAAAGTAACATAAATATATAAAAATGCTAGGAACTCAACTCATGCCACCACAGGTGCCCCCACGAATGACAATCACAAATGATACATAAAGAGACAATGATTATCGTTTGTGAACACAGATGATCGGTATATGTATAAAATCACATGTGATTGTCATCAATGGGGGCAATCGCGGTGAGTTTCTAGCATGATCCTAATTATACACGGAAAGAGCTTCTTAAAGGTATTAGCATCTACCTTAAGCAGAAAATCTTCGAATCGAAAATTCAAACAGCAGAAACTACTAGCAGATTCCGAGGATTCATCATCGGAGACGCCGAAACAACAACAAACAGAACCCATGATGATCTCTGTCACTGTAATTTTATTTTTACCCCAGCAAAGCTTCCACCTCCACAGAACAACTCAATTGGCTCCACAAGCAAACTTTCCTTAAACCCTAAAATTTCAATAGGAGAGGGTAAAAGTGAATCAAACCCTGCAAAATTCACACGGTGAAATTCAAGAACACACACTACTATTTTTTCAGTTTCTTTTTATTTTTTCCTAATTACTGGGTTCTTGAATTACTTCATGCAATATGAAAAACAATTCAGGAAATTGAAGATCGTATTAGGAAGAATGCCTTACTTTGAGCAGAGGTTGACTAAGAACGCTGACTTGGGAAAAATCGAAAACTAGGATTTTTGTGAGACGATGAATCAGCTGGGGAATTAAATTTCTATTCTTTCAAGTAAGAATTTAATCAGAGGAAAATTGGGGTATAAGTTTTCTTTTTATAATCATAATTCATAATCATACCGAGTGTGGAATAGGATGATCTTTCACAATCTCACTTGGATTAGGATTTATAATTACACGATTAAGCTTTTGTAAAACATAAACTTTACTACAATAAGGAATTGGTAAAAAAAAAAAAAGAAAAGTCGTTCTACTATATTTTGTAAATTTTATAGCTGACAAGAATATTTATAAAAATATTAATATAAAAATACAAAATTAAATTTGTAGGTTTAAAAATTACGTTAAATCTTCTTTTAAATATGAGATGACAAAAATATTTTATTTTATCAAAATAATCGATGAAAACAAACAAATAAACAAGATATTTCGTAATTTCTGAATAGTGAATTGTGATATTATTTTTGAAACGAGGAGAGTACTTTAACTACGATTATTAAGCACTTAACTGTTTACAATGTCACAACTTAACATTATATATTGACGTTTTAGAGTATTTTGACATTATATATTAGTAGTTTTTGACCTTATTCATCATATTTTAATACAAACCTGTTAAAAAGTCATATTTTGATTTATATAATACTCTCTATGTTTTAGTATAATTGATAGTTTCTTTTTCTCAAATACACTTTCAATTAAGAATTGAAAGATAAAATCCCTAAAATAGGAGTTAATGGTCATTATCATAAAACACATGAATTACTTTGGAGATATGATACATGTTTTGCTCCTATTTAGAGGTTTTTCTCAAAAACAAACTCTAAACTCAATGTCAAGAGAAAGATCTTAATTTTGAACATTGAAATTTATTCTTAATAATCAATAGAGCTCAATTACATTCGGAGTATAACCCAACTGATCATTTTTTAAGCTGTCCGTAATGCCCTCCTCCCCCCACGCGGGATCCGTCGTGGCTCTCTCCCGTCT